ACATGTTTGTTCCAGCAAACATGTTATTTCACAAGGGTAGATTTTCCAAGTGACTGACTTGGGACTCCTACCCCAAAGGGTTTTTCCTAAATTTTCATCTTAATTGGTAAAAATTGTTTCATAAACTGTTGATAAAACAGTCTGTGAAAGCAAACACAGAGTTCGCAACAACACGGTCCAAACGCTTGGATCTTTGCACGACTCCTCGGTCCTCGTGGGTAAACTGAGGCTCCATGGCTGCAGGGCATGTGACAGGGCCTGACGCTCCCAGCCTTCCACTCACATGGGCTCATTCTTCCTCTGTGTTCCTGTGTCCGAAGACGGCTCCAAAGGGCCTTGTCTTTGACATTCTTCTTAAAGCCCTTTAAATGAATTTGAGCTTCCAAATCTACAAAGTAAGCAAAAGAGAAAGCAAAACCCCCAGGCCCTGACTAGGAGGCCTGACTGCACATACAGTTCATTTTTATATCTGTCACCTCGGTTTCTCCTTCCTGGAGTAAATCGTGCTCTGATGCTCACTTCTCATCGTTTAGTTTCTTGTCCAGTCACATTTTGTATCTTTATTATTTTTAAATAATTGAGATATAATTTACACACAGAGAAATGCACAAAGTGTGTGTGTCACAGTCCAGGGGCAAATGCATACCATGTAACACAAGTCTCTGACTACACCTGGGAGGTTTCGTCCTCCCGGAAAGACCCCGCCCTCCCAGACAGCCTCCCTGGCCCTAGTGTGACCCGTGTGTGACCTCTGTGTGACCTGTTGCCGAGGGGGGCTGTGCCTCTTCTGGGATCACAAGGAACCTTGTCTTTTACACCTGGATTTTTGCACAACGTGATGTTCTAGAGATTCATTTGTGTCATAAAGTATCTTAATCCTCAATCCTTGTTATTGTTGATCACACCCACAATATGAATTTAAAATAGTCCATGTTCACATCCTTCTGTTACCAGGCCCTTGGGATGTTTTGCAATGAGAGCTGCCTCGAATAACATTTCTGCAAATGCTCTGGCTCAGGTTTCTTCTTAAACGAATATATATGAATGAATGAATGCATTCTTGAAGGAATACATATTTCATTGATCTTATGACCATTTTCATTATGATTCAAGATAGAGCTCAGAATTCACTTTTTTCCAGGATGGTGTACAGTTTTTCAGCACTTCTTGTTAAAAAGACTTTCTTTCACACCTGTGTGAGACTCTTGAGACCTTTGTTGTAGGTCAGTTGATCACACAAGTATGATTCCATTTCTGAACCATCCACTTTGTTCCATTTTTCTATATTTATGTCATCACCAAATTGTGTTTCGTCTTCATTATCAATATTCTCAACCAATGTGATCTCGTGCATTTCCAGGAAGTGGCTTCTGCCCCACACGTGCTCCAAAAACACAAGAAATCACTTCAACGTAGGCCAAAGCCACTTATTTTGCAGTTGTTTGCACTGAGTAATAAGGTTTATAATACAAATGTCCTGGATCATTCACTCCAAGTAGCTCATTGAAAATGCCATTATACTAATGACCTGAATGTCCCCCCAAATCACTCCTGACTGGAGGCCAGCCTGCATGCTGTCCTAACAGGGGCCTTTCACACAGAACAACATCCTGCTCGTTCACAGGGACGCTGGGCCTGAGCTGAGAGCCATAGACCCGTCCGCAGGCCGGGATGCCCAGCCCGTTTTCCCAGGAGAAAGACCCCCTCCTTCCTCTGACTCTCCAGCGAGAGGCCGGGAGCCCTGTTAACCAGCTGCTCTCAGCAGACCCAAATCATCCAGAACTGAGAGTACAAAAGCAGGGCCTCTATTTTCCATCAGTCTGTGACCTGCATGAAGCCAGATTTTCAAATGACTGTGAGAAACACAGAGATAGAAGCAGCTGGGCACTGGGGCTCTGCTCACCTGGAACCCGCAGAAGTAGATGCCTTGACAGGCCTGTGTCCAGGAAACAACCATGAAGAAGGCACCAACAGCAAATAATTTGTCTTGGAATTTTTCTAAATAGAAAATGCAGTTCCTCACCCTTTTCCCTAATGACCGTCTAGAGACTCGATCTGAGGGAATTCCCTAGCATCCAGTGGTTAGGACTTTGCACTTTCACAGCACTTTGATCCCTGGTTGGGGAACTAAGATCCCACAAGCTGTGCACTGTGATTAAAAAGAGAAGACTCTATGTGTCCTTCCTAGGAGTCGCTGTTTCCCACCTAGAGTACATGTGCTGTCAGGGTAACTACTTCTCCCTCCTGAAGCAGCCTAGCAGGTGGCGGTACCCAGAGTCAGGTGAGCTGACTCAGCATCTCTGAGGCTTTCTGCCTGGCTTTCTGCCTGGTTTCAGCCGGCCCGAAATCCAAACCCACCACACCAGAGGAGTGAATCAACCAATGAAGGGCTAGGGTTACCAGAAAATCCACAGGATGTCCAGTTAAACCTGAATTACTTTTTATTTTTTAAATTGTAGTAAAGCATACAAAATATAAAAGGTGCAGTATTACCCGTACTCCAGCATGTAGCTCAGAAATGTTAAGTATGTCTTTATGTTGTACAGCCACCACCACCTCCACAACCCGCTTCCTCATTTCCTCAGGCTGGGCTCTGTCTTCACTCACTGACCAGCCCCGTTTCCCTCCTCCAGCCCCTGGAGGCCATCATACCTCCTGTCTCAGTGATTTATAGGTCTCTAGGGGCCTCACAGACGTGGTCACACTGCATTTGTCCTTTCGTGGCTGGCTTCCTTGGTTAGCACCATGTCCCCAAGGTTCACCATGCTGTAGCCTGAATCAGAATCCCCTTCCTTTTCAAGAATGAATAATGTTCCCTCTTGTGTACAGACCACATCCATCCGTCTGTCCGTCTACCTCTGGACACTCGGGTTGCCTCCCCATTTGGCTGTTGTGCGTCACACTGCTTTGAACATGGGTGTGCTGTATTTCTTTGAATCCCCTTGTCGGTTCTTCTGGATCTACACCTGAGTGGACGTATAGGCTTCCTAGTGGCTGCACTGTTTTACACCCCCACCAGCGTTGCACTGCATTCTGATTTCTACACATCCTCACCCACAAATATTATTTTCTTGTTTTTTTTTAATAGCAACCAGCCTAACATGTGTGAAAGGCTGTCTCACCCTAGTTCTGATTTCCATTTCCCTGATGATGTTGAATATCTGTTCATGTGTTTATTGGCCATTTGTGCATTTTCCTTGTAGAAATATTTATTCAAGTCTTTTGCCTTAAATTTGCATTTCAGATAAATAATAATTTTTGTAGTGTGTGTACGTCCCACACGATAGTATAGAGATATACACAGAAAAATATCTCTCATGTATCCAAAAGTCAGTCTTCACTAGATGTCTTGAATTTTTATTTGACAACTCTGGCCACCCTAGAAATGGAGAACTCTGATGGATGGAAAACCATCTCTAAGTATTTCACAGTTTGTCTAAGGTGAGCTCTGAAACGGCTTGGTGTGTTTTGTGGGTGTCTGGTTGGGAGCCCTGTTTATTAGAAAATTGTAATTTCATTTCGAAATGCTCCAGACTAAATCATGTGAGCTTCACAGTATTTCTGGAATATTACTGGGCTCCTTTAATGAAATTATAACTCAAGAAGAGATTTCATTCCCACACAGTAAATTGGCATAGCCACGAGGGTGGGAGCGGGGCCTTCCCTGGCTGATTCCTCTTGTTCGGCAGAATGAAGAGGGAGAAACCTCCCGTATTTGAGTTATTTATTGTTCTCTGAGTGAGCATTATATTGTTGCCTGTCCCTGCTGGAAACAACAGCTGTTAACAGGCTCCTGAATGAATTTCAGCGTGAACTCCCCTGGCCTCTGGAAAGCCCGGCTAAAGAGAAAGCAGGCTCAGAACAGAAACAGAAAGAGCACGTTCCAGGCCCAGGTCTGGAGCCGGCAGCACAGCTAAGGTTTCCACAGAAGATTGCGGAGGTGTGCCCGGAGCAGGGCTCCGGTCTGACACAGAGCAGACACAAGGCAGCACCAGGCACAGAGGATGCAAAAAGTGTCCCTGACAGGGGCCCTGGACCCCCCCCCGCTGCAAGCCAGCGGGAAGGCAGGGGTGACCCTGCAGTGACCTCTGACACACGGGACGAGCAGCGGCATGCTTCCATCCGTGGTTTCCTAAGAACACATGGTTTTCTAAGGTCACGTGGAAAGTCAGGAACGCTGCAGCCCTGAGGGTCTGAGCAGAGGGGCTGTGGGGGCATCAGGGCTGAGTTCTCCTGTGGACTCACTTGCGGTCGGGGTCAGGGTTCTGAAATAGGGAGTCTTCCTTTTGGTGCCTTCCTCAGTTATTATCTTATTTCAGCCCTTGGTCTCTGTTTAGAGGGAATAGCTGAGCCCGATGGTCCCAAGCGCCACCTTGTCCTGGGTTTGAGTTGCTCTCTGTGCTGCCCCCAGGGGAGTCTGCAGCCAGGACCAGCCCTGGGGCTGCAGGCAGGGGCTCCCGGGCTCCCCTCACCACTCAATGACTGCCCCCACCTCAAGGGGCCCTCCACACCCTCAACCCTGCTCCTTCCTCCTGTCCCACCATCTTCTGCTCAAACACACATTTGAGTATTTGTTACAGTTTTGAGAAGTCCTTTTTTTCACGCACTTTCAGTCCACAGAGCAAGGTCTCCGCCTCTGGGGAGGAGGGTTGTGGCTCTGTTTGCAGGACACTTGTTTAGCTGAGACAGCTCTCAGTCTGCCTCTCTGTGAACCAACCTCAGTGAGCAGGTAGAGACTTCTGGTTTTGAGGGACATGGAGATGCCAAAAATAAGAAAATAAGAAAGATGGATATCATAAACTTTAATATTGAATGGAGAGGGGAATTTGATAAAACACTGTCAGAAATTCAATAAAAGACTAAACCAAAATGAAGAGGCTAAAACCAAAATGAACTTTCAGCTTTCCAGGTCCAAACCCCCAGTAATGAGAACATTTGAAAGCACTGAGTTTTTCTGAAACTTGGTGTCAAAAGTGCATTTCCTGTTCTTTTCTTTCCAGACAAAGTGAGCGTGTTGTCAGCCTTCATCGCTCCCTTCAAACGCCTGAACCCTGGGGCCACGCACGCAGAGGACGAGGACAACCTCAGTAAGCAGCTCTTTCCCCAGAGCCAGGGTCCCACACCTCCCCAACTGGGATCCCATCCCCCCACCCCCACAGTGGTAGGAAATCCTGGCAGTGACCATGTGACTGAGAACTCCAGGCGTTGCAAGAAAAGATACTAGTTCTCTTGGACCACCCCTCCTCTCTTTTCTTTGCTTTTCCCTCCAAACCAAAAAGAGAAAGGAAAGTGAACACAGCCTCTTTGAACAGTATGTCCAGTTATTTAACAAGGAAAGAGCTGGACGGGTGCCTGCTGTTGAAACTGCATTTGGCTTGTGAAACTGGAGAGACACCAGGGTAGGGGGCAGGGGGGTTGCAGATCTGGACAGCGCACCCACCGAGGAGATCAGAGCAGATGGCCATGAGGGGAGGGAGAGTTGGGTGTGTGTGTCGGGCAGGGCACCCCTCTCGCTTATGGCAGGAAAGCGTGGAGGGTTAGATGCTCCACACGATCAGAACACTTCTTGCATTTCAGTGTTATCTGACAGGTCTGACCTTTGCAGCCAGAGTCAGGCATGTGCTTGTGGGAACAGGTGGCGCGCTGATGGTCACTGAGGCTCTTGGGTAGGTGGCCAAGGAGCAACAGGTGTGTCCAGGGGTGCATCATGGGGGTCCCCAAGCCTGGTCTCAGAACTGGCACAGGACCAGGCTCTCTGGGGGCGGGAGCACTCCAGCCCTCTTTTCTGAGGGTCCTGGAATTTCTAGGAAATTCATTGGGAAACCCAGCTCCTGAAATAGGCAGGGGAGTTGGCCTGGACAGGCATTTATGTGTCTGCCTCCCCTTTCCTGCTGTTTTCAGAACTGCACCTGACTCTGCTCTGTGTCAGGGGTCTTGTCTTTTACACATGTCCCCCAGCTCAACCTCACAATAACCCCGGAGGCAAGAGCTGCCAAACCCAGTTTCCATCTTAAGAAAATGGAGTTGAGGCAGGCGGAGGGGCTGCCCAAGGTCACACACACTCACCATGGTTGTGGGGGACTTTGACCTCTCACCTGCTTGACCCGGAGCCACGGAGTGACCACTGCCCTGCCCTGCAGCTTCCCTGACTTCCTGCAGACTGCTTGGGAGGCTGTGTTGGGGAGAGTTGAACCCCTAATCAGCCCGTCTGCAGAAACCATGAGTGGCATCACCCCCAGAGCATGTATCAGGATGGCCTGGGAGACTGCACTTCTATCAGCTTTTAATTACCGATCAGCATAGGTGGGGTCTTCCTCCATGTTTGGATCTGCCTGATTCACTTTAAACTTTGAGGCTGACAGACCTGGGATGATGACCAGAGAGTGTGGACACGATCTCAGGCCAGGAGGAGGGCAAGCTGGGCCTGCCGGGTGGTTGCTCCAAGATAAACATTCTCCTGAGAGGCTCAGAGGGCGGCCTGATCACCAGCCACTTTGATCACACACACTGCCTCCCCCATCCCACATCTGGGAGATCAGTAAGAACATGGAGAGCTCCCAGAGAGTTTCTGGGCACTTGCTGTGGGCTCCCAGGGTTGAGCTGTTACTCCTTCCATCTTTACCTCCAGTTTGGGAAACTGCGGTTTATTCCCACCCCTTGGCCCAGGTGCTGAGAGGGGTCGTCAGAGGTGGGGCCCATGGTCCCCACAGCCTGGGTCACACGGTCTGTCTCCCCTCCAGGTACCAGCAGTGCTGACGTCAAGGAGAACCGCAATGTGAGCAACCTGGAGGCCAGGCCGCCACCGGCCGGGGACAGGGCCCGAGGGGGCGCGCCCAGCCTGAAGAGGAAGCGGCCGCTGGAGGAGGGCAATGGCGGACACCTGTGTCCCCTGAGGCTGCTGTGGCGGCGGCTCTCATGGTCCGTAGCACCCAAGAATGCACTGGTGCAGCTGCATGAGCTGCGGCCAGGCCTGCAGTTTCGCATGGTGTCGCAGACCGGCCCAGTGCATGCACCCCTCTTCGCCGTGGCCGTGGACGTCAACGGGCTCACCTTTGAGGGCACCGGGCCCACCAAAAAGAAGGCCAAGATGCGGGCAGCCGAGCTGGCCCTCCGCTCCTTCGTGCAGCTCCCCAATGCGGGCCAGGCTCCCCCAGCCCCCAGTGGTATGGCCCCTGACTTCACCTCTGACCAGGCCGACTTCCCCGACGCCCTGTTCCAGCGGTTCGAGCCTGCAGCACCTAGCGAGGGCTTCCCGGGCTGGCGGCCCCCCGCCCCCGAGTGCCTGTCCACAGCCTGCCGGAGGAGCCGGCTCCTGGGCCGCCCACTGGACCTGGGCCTGGGGGGACCCACGGCCCCAGGCACCGGGAACCCAGTGGTGCTGTTGAACGAGCTGCGCTCTGGCCTGCGCTACGTGTGCCTCTCAGAGCCAGAGAAGCGGCGCGCCCAGAGCTTCGTCATGGCCGTCAGCGTGGACGGGAGGACGTTCGAGGGCTCAGGACGCAGCAAGAAGTTGGCCAAGGGCCAGGCCGCCCAGGCCGCCCTGCAGGCCCTCTTCGACATCCGGCTGCCCGGCCACGTCCCCAGCAGGAGTAGAAGTCACCTCCTGCCCCAGGTGAGAGCCCTCGGGTGGCTGCCAGGGGGCAGAGCGGGGCGGGGACAGTGGATAGTCCCCCTGCTCCATCCCCATGTGTGTGGGGGGGCCCCTGCGCCTCCCAGACAAGCAGGTGCTGCCCCTCCTGCCTCAGTGCAGGAGCTGAGCTCGGATTTGGGGAGAGAGAGCCTGAAAGCAAATGTGGGAAGGGAAGGAATGCCGAGGGACCGCAGAGGTGATGGAAAGCTGGGCAGCCGGCTGTCTTGGCAATGGTGATGCTGGCCACAAGGGACAGGGCAGCGGGGGAAGGGCTCCCTGCCCCCGAGAGGGTGGCACGGCAGGACGGCCCCTCAGTGCCCGTCATTGGCATGTTCGGTGCCCACTGGTGTGTTCGGTGCCCGTCAGCGTGTTTGGTGCCTGTCAGCATGTTCGGTGCAGGTCAGCATGTTCAGTGCCCGCCAGCATGTTCGGTACCCACCAGCATGTTTGGTGCCCACTGGTGTGTTCAGTGCCCATCATTGGCATGTTCGGTGCCCGCCAGTGTGTTCGGTACCCACAGGTGTGTTCAGTGCCCAATGGTGTGTTCAGTGTCCACCAGCGTGCTCAGTGCCCGTCGGCGTGTTCGGGGCAAGTCAGCATGTTCGATGCCCACCGGCGTGTTCTGTGCCCACCGGCATGTTCGGTGCCCGCCAGCGTGTTAAGTGCCCACTGGCATGTTCAATGCCCATCAGCGTGTTCAGTGCAGGTCAGCATGCTCAGTGCCCGCCAGCGTGTTCAGTGCCCATCAGCATGTTCAGTGCCCACCAGTGTGTTCGGTGCCCGCCGGCATGTTCAGTGCCCACCAGTGTTTTCAGTGCCCACCAGCATGTTTGGTGCCCATCAGCATGTTCAGTGCGGGTCAGCATGCTCAGTGCCTGCCAACGTGTTCAGTGCCCACTGGCATGTTCGGTGCCCATCAGCATGTTCGGAGCAGGTCAGCATATTCAGTGTCCACCGGCATGTTCGGTGCCAGTCGGCGTGTTCGGTGCAGGTCAACATGTTCAGTGCCCACCGGCGTGTTTGGTGTCCATCGGCATGTTTGGTGGCCCGTCATTGGCGTGTTCGGTACAGGTCAGAATGTTCAGTGCCCGCCAGCGTGTTCAGTGCCTGTCAGCGTGTTCGGTGCAGGTCAGCATGTTCAGGGCCCACCGGCATGTTTGGTGCCCATTGGCATGTTTGGTGCCCATCATATGTTCAGTGCCCGCCAGTGTGTTTGGTGCCCGCCAGCGTGTTCGGTGCAGGTCAGCGTGCTCAGTGCCCGTCAGCATGCTCAATGCCCATCAGCGTGTTTGGTGCCCATTGGTTTGTTTGGTGCCCATCAGCATGTTCGGTACAGATTGGTATATTCTGTGCAGTTGGCGTGTTTGGCGCAGATCTGGGCTGCGTCTCTGACTCGGGCTGGCGTTCTGCTGAAACAGGGCTGGGTGGGCAAGGACCCGCCCTGCACTGCCTCAGGGGCTTGTTGCCCACAACACGCGAGCACCTCACGGAGCTCAGCCCTGCACAGGGGGCTCTGCGCACCGTCCTTGTGTTGGGACCTGTTCTCCTGCCTCCTCCTCCTTCTGTTCATCTATGAGCATTGTCCCCTCTGAGATGACACAAGAGGTCTCCCTCATCCACTCTCTCATCAATGGGGGAGAAGGTTTTGCAGTTAAAGGCCCTCATTCTGCACGAGGTCCCTAGTCAGAGCTCAGCACTTGTAAATCTCTGCTCAGACCGGGGCGTCCTCATCTCACGTCACCTCACATAGAATCCACTGTTTGCCTCATGAGGTCATGTGTCCACTAGGGGTGGACTTGGGGTGCTGGAGGGGTGCTGGACAGTGAACCAAACAAATGCACTAGGACGGAGCCTTCATGTCAAATCACAGCCAGGAGCCAGCATCTGTCCGTCCTCCCATCCCTCTACCCATTTGTCCATCTGTCCATCCTCTCATCCATCCAATGAGCAGTTCTCTGACTCTGGCAAGCACAGAGCATGGAAGGGCCCAGCGGGTATCAGTCTGGTCCCTACAACTCAGCCTCATGAAGGACAGAAACTGCTGAATGGGGAACCCCAGGGGCAGCTGTTTCTCCTGCTACTTCTGCCCCCAATTTCTTCATTAATTTTCAAATGTTTACTGCACATTCTAGGAGCAAATTGGAGGGGTTGGCCCATTATCTCCCCATGTCTTGCCTCCCACACAGCCTCAGATGACACAGTGCAGATAGAGGCAAGTGTTTGGCGTTGACACGGGTCCTGGCCTGGAGTGTGGTGGCCCTGCTGTCCCTTCCTGATGCCCCCACCTGTCTCTCTCCCTCTCCTCTGCCTGGTGTCTCCACCTCGCCTGTAGCTCTGACCCCCCCAACACCTTCCAAGGAAGCCCCTCAGCCCCTCTCAGGCCAAACGACCCGGGCTGCCCAAAAGGCCTCCCTCCTCTGCCTGATGCTATTTAGTGAGCAGAGCCCTTCCTCCAACTCTGCTGTGCACACAAGCCCACACACACACACACCCCTGCGTGAGGGCTGAGGATGTCGGTGAGCCTGCCGTGATGCCTTTCCTTTCACGTTGTCAACCCTGCACTCTCAAGACGCAGGAACCGGGCGGCACTGCTGCTTTGTAACAGTTGTTTGACCCCAGAATGCAGCACATCAGTGAAAGCTGCCGCCGCTAAATAATTCTTCCCTAACAGTCGGCTAACACCCACCCGGGTGACGGAGGGTGAAGAGCAGTAGGAGGCTGTGGTCCATCCATCACCCTGGACGGTCCTGGAGCATGTTGCCCACTCCCCTTTAAGCACCAGGCAACCTCCGGGGCCTTATTAAGTCCAGACCCCACCTTGGACGTGGTCTAGATTCAGAGATTCCAGGGTCCCTGTAGATGCAGCTCCTCTGCCTCCTCTGCCCAGGCGTCTATGCTGTCTGCAATGCATCCTTTCCACTCACACCAGGCCTGGTCACCAAGGTCATGACCTGTCACCCGTGTAACCACGCCGCCAGCACCTGTGTCAGGAGCCATGCCCCCGTTCCTGCTGTGCACACCCCAAGGAAGGTCTGTGAGGCCCCTGCCCGAGTCCAGGGCAGGTGGCAGGGGGGACAATGTTCACCCTGGAGAGACCCAGCCTCTGGCCCTGGGGTATCCAGCTCAGGATTTGGCGCTCTCTGCCCTGGGGACAGGCTCAGTGCACAGGACACCTGGGGTCTTGTTTAATAGCTCGCCCGCCAGGCCCGCCAATACGGTCAGTCAGCGGTGTGGGACTTCTGGCTGCAGGAATCCCAGGACCAGGCGTCTGCGGTGCTGATGCCATGCAGGCGGGTCAGGACCTGCCCTGGGTTGTTCAGCCTCAGCCCAGAGCAGATCTCAGTGGGGCTGGCTTGGTGGGTCAGAGGCTCTGCCCATCCTGAGGACAACTCTGAGCAACACAGCCCCCCAGGAACCCCTCAGCTCAGACCCCAGGGATCCACCCCCAGGGACCCCTGCCCTCGGCGCCCAGACACCACCCTCCTTGGGCAAGTGAGGCATCTGTCCCTCCAGGCTGAGCACCCCTGTCCAGCAGTAAAGATAGTCATTTAGGCTGGTTTTGGCCTTGAGTCTGAAGCAGTTCTGAAGAATAACATTCTCAATGCAGATTAAAATCACAGATATGTTGGATTTCCACCACCACCTCAACATAAGGGGTGTCTCAGAACCAGCCTCAATTTCATGAGATCTGACTTCAGGTCTCTTTGCCAGAGTGACAAGAACACAACTTTATTAAATTCTCTACCGCCCAGGGCAGGCCTGAGTGAGTGGTCACTGTGCAAACACAACTGACGAGGTGCCCACGGAGACCAGGGGGAGGTGGGGGGCCGGCCTGAAGCTCAGATTTCCTCTAGGTTCACAAAAAGTGTGAACGTAATAACAAGACCATGACAGAAAATAAATGCTCGTTAGCTGGAACATCATTGTTAAAAAAGAAAAAGTCACAAGACCTGTGTCTCTGTGGTCTTACTCCTCACCCCTGACATGAGAAGACTGGGATTCACAATAGCATTAAATTCTGCCAGAAAGCCTTGTCTCTCAGTGCTTCTGCTCTCTGGAAACAGAAGAGCATCAGTCACGTGATGGAGAAGAAAGTGACTAAAAGTTACGGTGATGCTGGTTGGGAGGGGTAGGGAGATGGTGACACACGGCCCCTCGTGTGAAAACCACGGGCTTGTCTTGCTCTGAAGTCTTTCACCCTCAGTGATGCCCTTTTTTGTTTGTTTTTCTTTCTTTTTTTAAATTTCTATGTCAGCCTGCGGTGGTACTAACAATGTCTGAAAGATTCAGTCAAAGCAAGCAGCACACTCTCTCCCCAAGGGTGGGAGGTTGTGCCTTTGAAACCAGCTACCAAGGCCGCATGCTGATCAAGCCCTTTGCAGGTCCTCCCAGGGAGCGGATGGCCCCGGCCAGGCCTGGCCATTGGTCAGGTGCCCAGAGCACCTTCTCTGCTCCCTGGTGGCACAGCTGTCTGCTGGGAGGGGGAACCAAGGGACATGTAACATCATGGAAATAAAAACGCCTCCAGAGGTCAGCCCTTTACCACAAATTTGGATTCGAGCTCCCGTACACACCTAGGCTATGGAATTGGACCTGGGGCTGACTGCACCTCGACCTGAACAGCCGCACTTGGGGACACAACAGAGCCCCTCCCCTGCTGCCTGGCCACCTCACAGGTTGTCTGGTTTCACATCCCTGCTGACCTCTACCCTAAACACAGAATAGTCACTAGTGTCACCTCGACAGATCAGCAGGAGCAGGTCCTCAGATTTCAAATGGGCCTGAATTACAGAGGGTGGAAATCATACCCGCTCAGCTTTGAGATGGCTCAACACCATCCATGGTGTTTTCCCCTGAGGACACCCCAAAAAACAGTGGGACCCCGTGACAACCCCCTCCTGAGCCCCAGTGGCCTCACACCCCCAAATGTTCCAGCTGGCTCTGCCCTGGCCACATGTCCACCGCCGGGTCCTCAGGGACCC